CTGTGCTGTGCTGTGCTGTGCTGCAGGGGTATTAACCCCCCTGTGCTGTGCTGTACTGTGCTGCAGGGGTATTAACCCCCCTGTGCTGTGCTGCAGGGGTATTAACCCCCTGTGCTGTGCTGTTGTTCACAGTATGGAGGAGTGTGAGGCCCTGTGTACCAGGCTGGGCATCATGGTGAACGGTCGCTTCAAGTGTCTGGGCAGCATTCAGCACCTCAAGAACAGGTGAGACCAAGCGCTCTGTGGGCGGCAGTACTGTCACATTTCAAGGACAGAAAATGAAAGGAAGAGCATGGGTAAAAATTCTGCCTGTCCCAAAACCTCTACATCCCTCCTTTTTGTCCATCTCTCTCTCTCTGGACATCTCTCCCTCTGCCTGTCCTTCTCTGCTGATGACTCCCTCTCTCCCCCAGGTTTGGGGATGGCTACATGATCACTGTGCGCACCAAGACCAGCAGCAGCGTGAGGGAGGTGGTCCGGTTCTTCAACAGGAACTTCCCAGATGTCATCCTTAAGGTGCTCAGCTCGCTGACTCCTTCTGTGGTGTGTGTGTGTGTGAGAGAGAGACAGAGAGCATATACTGTGTATTGCTGTGGGGTATTCTGCATGTATAACATGTCCTTTGTCAGAAGTAGAATATGCTTGTTGTATTGTCTGGGGGAAGTGAGTCCATCTGCCTCATCCTGTCCGCCCTCCTCCTCTTCCTCCCCCTGTCCCAGGAGTGCCACCACACCAAGGTCCAGTACCAGCTCAAGTCGGACCGGATCTCCCTGGCCCAGGTGTTCAGTAAGATGGAGCAGGTGGTGGAGATTCTGGGCATCGAAGATTACTCTGTCAGCCAGACCACCCTGGACAACGTGAGGCCCTGTCCTGTCCTGTTCTGTCCTGTCCATCAGTCGGTTCTATGGCAGTGCCTGTCTGCCTCCTCCTGCAGTCTGTATCTGTTGGTGTTCACTGTCTCTGCAGAGTTTTATACCTGTTTTATGTAAGGAGACACTTAGTAATACAAATCCTGATGATAATAATGATGATAATTTCTTGAAAATTTGTATAGCTCTTTTCATCCCAGAGGATCTCAAAGCTCTTTAACACTGAACAGCAGCCCCCCCCCGCACTGCAGATCCGGGGGGGAGTGAGAGATGATTTCACCTCTCGAATTAAGCAGGAACCTTTGTGAAACTCAGATTGTTCAATCTTAGTGCTATTTAGCCAGGAATTAAAGGGTCAAGACCCCTACACTTGCAACCAGTATAATGGGAGATTGAATGTCCGAGCACTCGGATCCTCCTTCCCCACAGTGTGCCCGGTCACCAAATTCTGATACAGTGGAAATAGCGCCACCTACAGCACCACACTGCTTCCATTGAGTTTTGCAGTATCGATAGATCTGTCTCGGCATCTGCCTGTTCAGCCGCCTGTGCTGGAGCGAAGTGTGACTCAGCGCTGCCCCCCTGCTGCAGGTGTTTGTGAACTTCGCCAAGAAGCAGAGTGACAACCTGGAGCAGCAGGAGAGCTCGCCCCCTGGTGGCTCCCAGTCGCCACTGCAGCGCGTCCTCAGCCTGCTGCGCCCGCGGGCCACGCACACCGAGCTCAGCGCGCTGGTCACCGAGGAGACGGAGGAGCTGGAGAGCGACGACGAGGGGCTGATCAGCTTCGAGGAGGAGAGGGTGAGAG